ATCCGTGTTGAGACTTCCTGTCTAGGATATTGGGTGTTTCTCCATTTGTTCATCTTGACGTATGCATCCATCCAAGAGCATTTGAAAATTTTCTTCTAGCACTTAATCTCACAGATGTGTATGGTACTCTGTTTGCTACATAATAGAGGTTGCACATCCTTTTTATGTATTTGGGCTCATTCTTAAAAATTGATCAAAACTGGGTGAGGTGGCACACCTCTGTAATCCCAGCACTCTGGGAATTGGGATTACAGTTAATGGTCAGCCTGGACAATTTTTAGCAAGACTCTGTCTCCATATAAAAAATAAAACATGAGTTGAGGACATCGCTCAGTGTGGGGGTGGGGGAGGATCATATATTAGATCATAGAAAAAATACATACTGTGGTAAACCAGTAGTTTACTACGAAAACAAATACAAAGCCTCTTCATCTAGAAGTTAAAAATTTCCTATTACTTCCTTGAATATAATGGAAAATATAAAGTGAAATTAAAGAAATTTTTAAAAAATGACAGCACAAGGGGCTGGGGATTTAGCTCAGCGGCATAAGCGCCTGCTTGCAAGCAGGCAGTCGTGAGTTCGATCCCTGGTATTGATAAAAATGAAAAAGACAAAAAAAAAATGACAGCACTACATGTCAGAATTCGTAGCATGCATGTAAAGTGCTGGGTAGAAGAAAATTATTTGTATTAAGTACATCAGTAAGAATGAAAAAAATTTAAATGAATTAACTTGCCAGGTTAAAGAAGTAACAAACAAACCAAAAGAATATAGTGGGTTTGTGATGAAAGCTTGTAGAGGGAATATATTTCCAGAGTGAGACAGCAGAGGGACCTAACTGAAAGCAGGATTTCTGCGCTAACTAGAACTGGTAAAGTATTGTGACCAGTGTGATGTGAAAGGGTGGGGTGTGTGTGTGTGTGTGTGTGTGTGTGTGTGTGTGTGTGTGCGCGCGCGCGCGCACCTACCTAGGATAGCTATGAAACTGCAAAGTGATAATGCTGAAAACACTAGAAATAAATCAAGATGACATTATGAAACAAATTGAAATAGCTGATAGGAAGACAGTAAAAACAGAAGAAACTGAGAAAATTGGGGCTGGGGATTTAGCTCAGCGGCATAAGCGCCTGCCTCGTAAGCAGGCAGTTGTGAGTTTGATCCCTGGTACCGATAAAAACGAAAAAGACAAAAAAAAAAAAAAAAAAAAAAAAGCAAAACGAAACTGAGAAAATAAATTTTAAAAATTCTGTACTTATAATTTAGCGTACAATAGTTAAAACAGTGACTGTCAAATTTTTTTTCTTAGTTGTTTCTGCAGTTACTGATTGTTTAAGGACATGAGTTTTGTTTGTTTGAGACAGGATCTCATTGTATAGTTCAGGCTGGCTTTAAACTCACTATGTTGCCCAGGCTAATCTCTCACTGGTGATGATCTTCCTGTCTCAGCCTCCAGAGTGCTGCAGTTACAGGTGCCACCACACCCAGGCCAAGGGAATGAATTTCTGTGCCACAGTTTACATTCATACCCTTTCCTTGCCTAAAAGAATTTTTCTTCCCATTCTTTCATCCTCTACATGCACACCCTGGAGTCCTGTTCCGAGGACTCTTCAGGTGGTGCAGTGCCCAGGGTATGCAGCCATGTGTGTACCACACTGAGCAGTCACTAGAGTGAGTCTTTCCAGGGTGCCTCCTGTACAGGTGACCAACAGGATTCTGAGACACGAGGCTTCGTTGTGTTTTTGTTTTTGTTTTTGTTTTATTTTTTTTTTTTATTTTATTTAAGGAGAAAAGAAAAGAAAGAAAAAAAAAACAGTGAAGGGATACAAGTTATACAGATTTACAGAAGAAAAAAATGCGCAGTAGGCAATCACTAGTTAATGGATTACATATTGCCATCTTAGAAATAATTGTTCAAGTCACAAAATTAAAGCTTGTAGAGTGGACATTCCAACAATGATACTGCAAACAGTTCTGTTCAATGATCCAATAAAACTCTGTGATATCATTTTCTATCTTATACGCTTAAATATACATGCAGTTATATAGTTTAGAGCACTTTCTTTTCCTCTCTTTTGTACAATGACTATTACACATTTTGGGTTTCATTGCTCCCACGCGTTGTGTTTTTGTTAACAGTGAGGCATCAGCTAAGGAGTGGGAAGGCAGGTTGCATACAGCTCCGAGACAGGGTATTTCAGCAGGTTGGGCGCCATGGCCACTTCCTCTTCACATATCCTCCTCATCCGTCCCAGCAGACACTGTCAAGTATTGTCCTGCCTTTGAGGGGTACACTGAGAACTCTGGCAAAACCACAGCCCAACTGCTTGGAAGGATGCTTCTGCCTGTGTGCACCACGCTCCAGGGTGTGAGAAGTTGCGTGGTGCTTCCGACGGATGCAGCTGGTCCCAGCCGGCTGCAGTGCCCGCTTGCTGGGCAGCTTTGTCCTCAGTGTGGCTGTGCCCCTCACGCCCTGACTGGCACAAAGAGCGACTGTAAACAGCCACCTGTGTGTTAGCCGTTCTCTTTGTGTTATTTTCCTCCAAGTTTTTACTATTAAAAGTTTTTGTAGTGCCGTGGTTTGAACACAGGGTTTTGTGTTTGCCTAAGTTTCTTTCACTAACGGTCACATTTGGTTATTCTAAAACTTCATACAAAAGGAATCATTCTGGGTATGTTTTTGTGTGCCTGGCTCTCACTCAACATTTAAATGTTGGCAGTGCATTCTTAGTGCCCTGCGTATCAGTACTTACTGGGTTCTGTGGCGTTTACTGTGCAATACAACCTTGTTTGTCCATCTGCCTGCAGACGGGTGTCTGAAGCCTTGCAACATACTGTGAATAAAGCTGTTCTAAGTGACAGCAGTGATGAAACACGAAGAAGGAAGTGCAGAAGTAGAAATAACATTAGAGCGAGCTAACCTTTTTCACTAATTCTCAGACCACATTGAAAAACACATTTTCTGACCAGTTGGGATTTTTTACATTTCTATGCTTATTGGTACCTGTTTACATTACATAATGATTGCATTTTTCCTGTGGAGTTGTGATCAGCTGGGAATTATTCTGGGAGTGAAAGATTACTTTTTTTTTTTCCTTACAGGGTCTCTGTGCAGTTAGGCTGGCCTTGAGCTCACTTTGTAGCCCAGACTGGTCTCGAATTTGCAGCGATCCTCCTGCCTCAGCCTCCCTAGTGCTGGAATTACAGGTGTGAGCCACCACGCCTGGCTCTTTTTTTGAGACAGGGTCATCTTGCCATGGTATCTGGGCTGGCCTTGGCATTGTGTGGCCCGGCCCAGCCATGAACTCGCAACAGTGCTCCTCCACCAGCTTCCCGAGTGCTGGGATTATGGGTCTGCACCACGTACCCAACTCACAAGGTTGATTGAGGGATATAGGTGCCATCAGTGTCATATATATGTAATAATAAATCTTAGGGAAGAGACCATATGAGTGACTCCTAGACCATGGGTACCATTAAAACCAGGATGTTCAGTGGGGGAAGAATAGCAGGACTTCCCCGCTGAGATCAGGAACCTGGCTACAGCATCTGGTATTGTTACTGTGAGCCTTGTACCAGCCATCCAGTGCAGTTAGAGTGCAAGAGAGAAGGAAGCGTGGCGAACTGTTTCTGTACACGTGATCGCATACCTAGCAGGCCTCTAAGAAGGAAAAAGCTCTGCAGTCCAGGTGAAGGATCCGTGTCTGTGGTCCACTGTGGCAGTCCAGCTGCTCGGAAAGTTGAGGCAAACGGTCACTGGAGCCCAGGAGTTCAGTAGCAGCCTCTAAAACAGATGCAGAAACTGTGGGGCACAAGTTTAAGTGAGTGGCTGTCTATAAAATTAACATGCAAGGCTGGGGGTTCAGCTCAGCAGCACAAGCGCCTGCCTGGCAAGCATGAGGTGGTGAGTTTGAGCCCCAGTACCCCGCCTCCCTTCATAATCAGAAACACCAAGCCTCAAAGGACATAGATATAACATGTAAGGGAGTGCTCTTGTTCCAGTCTCATAGTAGTGTGTCTGATGACAAGCATCAGTGGCTACTGTGTGTTTCCAAACCGCTTAGTTTGCCCTTCCCAGGGAAATCTGGCAATGTCCTGAGACCCTGTGGGTTGTCACTGTGGGGGGCTTGTGAGGGCAGAGATGGTGCCAACTGAGCCTGCCCTAGCAGGTGTTTGGTGGGCGAGAAGTGCTGCTGTTACCACGTTTCCAGTACTGACATCAGGTTTTTGGTGCACCCGAACACTGCTTACATGGTTGTGTAGTCTCACAGACTGTTTGGCCTGAGGTTAGGTTTTATTGGTAGTTGAACCTAGAAACTTCACTGCTCCTGACTGCAGTGGTTCTATAGGAAAGTGATTTCTAACTTACAGTCAGTGTTAACCTGAAAATTTGTCAGCTACTTACATACCACAGCCCCTCTTAATGTGACAGGTTTTAACTTCTCTAGATTTTAATTTCCAAGAAGTTTATTTCTTGTGTGTTAAAGAAAAATACTGATCTGCCAGAAGCTGTCCTCTGCCGAAATGTGTGATGTTATCCACTTTAGCTTTACGAGGGATTTTTTCCTTAAGTATTTTCCCTATGGTTTTTATTCCTCTCCTTTTGTTTCCAATTGGCCTAACATTCTTTTATCACAGTCCTGCCTCCAGTTTATCTATGGTTTAATTAATTTCGCTGTTACCAAAGTGATGAAATAAAAGCACTTTCATTTACAACGTTGAATATTGAAGCACTCATAAAACAAAAAAACCAAGCTGGCAGTCAAGTATGGAATTTGTAGCAGTGTTTTGCAAGCACCATGGATTTGGGGATTTTGCTCGGTGGCATAAGCGCCTGCCTGGCAAGCATGAGGTCATGAGTTTGATCTCTGGTACAAAAAAAAAAAAACCAAAAAAACACCGTGGATTTAGTTACTGTTTCCTCCCGATTCCTCCATTAATACTTTGGTTTGCAAAACAATTGACGGCATTACTGATGTATTTTTGCCTTTTTTCTCCCCAGAGGGAAGTGTAACATCTCCCATTTTTCTGACATATTTGCTGCTAGAGAATTTAAAGCCCGAGTGGACTCATTTTTCTACATACTAGGCTACAACCCTGAGACAAGGTAAGTGAGTCACTTGTGCCGCTCCGTGAGGACTTCCTCCCTGCCTTCTGGGTTCGTGTAGGGGTGTGTATTTATCTGGACATGGCTACATTCTGTGGAAAGAGTGGAAGTGTCTTTGGAATCCAAAGCAGTTTCTTACTTGCTCTTTCATCAAAGAAAAGAAAGGCAGAACATGTGTGGTAGGGTAAAGACGTAATTTTAATTGCTCTGTGCTTTGCAAGCCATCCTGGGTGCCATGCTCAAAAGAGCCAGGTGATCTTACAGAATTTGTTGACTGTTCATTCACTCATTTTGTTCATTCCTGGTCCTGAAATCTAGGGAATGCTCACTGAAATATCTATAGTAAGAATTCTAGGAGGAGACAGCCAGACGGACATGTCCTATTCTAACCCCTTGGAAGGATGGATGCCTGTCAACAGTTAGTGTTATTGTTACAGTGTCGGGCGCAGGCGCTCAACACACCCCGCCCGGGACGATAAGACCACGTCAGCTTCCGCAATGCGTTACGTCCCTCTCTAAATTAGCCACCCCGTGCTCACTTTGTATTCGCCCCATGCTGACTCTGTGGCAACCCCTGATTGGCCACAGCTGGATATATTAGTCAGAGCCTGCGTCCCATTCCCGCCCTGCTTCCTCGTGGCAGCCTGTGATTGGTCACGGCCAAATATATAAACCAGAGCCCGCGTAAATAAAGCGGCAGTTCCTGTTACCCACAAGAGCGTCCTCTGTCTCATTGGGGGGCTGCGCCGGTCATTACAGGAATAGGAAGCAATAGGATACATAATAATTTTACAGAAACAGTTGTTATTAATGTCAGTAATAGATTGTTTTAACAGGAATTTCTATAAGAGACGTGTGTCCATGTCTGTCTTGTATCAATCATGCGACTGTATGTTTTATTATATATTTTAAAAGCAAGACTGTTAGCAGGCTACCAAGTAAACTGGGCTGTGGCCTTCTAAGAGCTGTCGACAGGGGGAAAAAAGAAGAGCTGTCTACTGGTGTAAAGATTTAGAAAGGAAAGGGGTGCTTGACTCAAGGAATTATATTTCATTGTAAATTAAATAGACATGCAAAATGAGTATTGTTTAATAAACTTTCTTTAGAAGAGCTTTTTTTTTTTTTAATAGGAAACCATGTATAAATTGAGCATGGTGCTCCTCGGCTGTCAGGCTAGGCTGCGGTTTGTAAAGCCACACAGAGCACTGCTGGCGCTGATCTGCCCAGTGCTGTCTCTTCCTGTCTCTCCCTCTGGGTGACAGCCGGAGGGTGGTAGGACAGTGCTTACCTTTTCCCCCTTTAGGGTACAGTGACGTTTGAGCTTTACCTTTCATTTTCAAAAGTAAGGCATGTTCCAGTGGTGAAAGGTTCTGGGGTTGGTAATATTTCAAAAGCATCATATAGTTTCCTATGTGTGTTTTATATATGCATTGTTTACGAACAATGTAAAAGAGTGAACTTAGATTTCTGTGTAATTATTTATGTATTTTGGAGACAAGTTCTCACTGTGTGGTTCAGGTTGGCCTAGAACCCATTGTGTAGCCCGAGCTGGCCCTGAATTTGCAGTGGTCCTCCTGTGTTAGCCTCAGTTTGTTGAAAATCTTATAAAAAACATTATTTGACCTTTGTAAAGTGTGGATTTCTGTGTTTTTTTCCTGTTGAATGTCGCTGGCCTTGAGGGTGATACTTCATATGAGTGTGCTGTGCCCCTCTGCACTCATTTTTGTCCGTTCGTTTTGAGTTGTGGTGGTTTCCCCCCAGTGCTGGGGGATGCACTCAGGAACTTACACATGCTAAGCAAGTGCTGTAGCACTGAGTTATGCTCCCAACGTCAGTTTTCTTTCAAATGTGGTAAGGTATGCAGTCGAAGGATACTGTTTTTTTCACTGAAGAAAGAAAGAACAGAGAGATGTGATAGCACATTCACAAAATCTACACCCTGAATCTTTTGGGGTGGGTATTGGGAATCAAACTTAGGACCTTGTGCTTGCCAGGCAGGCACTGTGCTGCTGAGCTATGGCCCTGGCTCCATGAATCACTTCTTCTAGTGTTTCGAGTTTCCTTGACACTGTTCTACTCTGTACTTGTGCTTACTATATTTTCAGAGATGGAGAGGTATTGGCTGAATTAAACTGAAAAAAGCATTTGAATTTTTATTTCGAAGTTTCAGGTGAGGCTCAGACTTTTCCCAGTGAGATGTAGAGGCCAGTGTGGCTACTGTTGTGGTTTCCTGGTCTCATCTTGAACTCCTCGCTGTTGCTCTGAGCTCACAGCTGCTCTGATAGCCACAGAGTGGACGTGATTGAACAGGGCAAATAGCGCTCTGCTTTTGTTCACTTAGGTGTGCTTGCTTGTGCTGCATCCTTTAGTGTATCTAGCTCCCATAGGAGCTGCTGAGCTGGCTGGTGTATGTACTTTTAAAATAATCAAGTTAATATATTACATACTTAAGGCATACTGTTTGTAAATGAGTGAAATACCCTCTCCCTCTAGGCTGTTTGGCTCTAAATCTATTGTTCTTTTATGGTTTCATCATAGATTGGTTTATATATAATTTAATATTCTTTTAGCTCTGTTGGAAAATAGCCTCTAGTTTTTTGTAATAAAACAATGTTTGCTTATTAAAGAAGAACTCGACAAATATGAATGATACACAAACTGAAACAACAGCACACCATTTTGCAATCCATATCTAGTTTTCATGAATATCTATATATAGAGATATGTAGGTCCTTACTTACTGAGATGATTCAAATATTTTATGTATGTAGCATGTATGATTAGACATTCCTTTATTATTCTTCGCTGTGTTACGAGAAATGCCATGTCATTAAAAATATGCTTATAATGCAGCATGGTGTGGTGGTGTGTATCTGTAACCTCAAAACGTGGAAGGCTGAGGCAGGAGGGCCAGTATGAGTCCAAGGCCAGCTGGGGCTGCATAGTGAATTCAAGGCTGGCTGGAATACGTGTGAGACAACATTGGCTCAGTGCAAATACGCATTTCTAGTAACCATGTAGTATCACTGGGGGTCCTGTAGTTTATCTGCTTTTGTATTTCATATTATTGGAAACTGATGGCTTACCCACTGTTTGGTTATTCTAAACAACAAATAACATAGGGTCTCTCTCTCTCTCTCTCTCTCTCTCTCTCTAAATCAGAGTTTGAACTCATAAACTTGTGCTTGCCAGGCAGATGCTTATGTGGGACTTTTTAAATATGTTTTTATAATTCAGATGAAAAGTTGACAATCTAGAATTCCTTTATTTCAATTAATACAGATTTGAGACATATAATTTACTTTTGCTTCATGAAATCCCTTTTTTCCATTTGCCTTAACTTATAATGTTTATGTAGCTTTTGAGGACAAGCATCTACAGCTGGGCATAAATATTTTCTTGTTTGCTTTTTGTCTGCAGTCACATTTGAATTCTCAAGAACACTGATGATAGAGCACTTGCCTAGCATGCATAAGGCTCTGGGCTTGATCATCAGGTCTGCAAACAAACCTTGGCTGACCTGATAAATATTGGAGACAGTTGAAAGTGTATTTGGAAATGACCTTCTGGTGTTTAAAGAACCTTCAGTAACATGAGACAAAGCCCAGACTGCATATTTCAGTAACCTGTTCCTAGAAAATAGATACAGATGTTGAATAGAATATAATAAAACCTGAAAATTCAAGCCGGACTCCAGAGTGTGAGGACAACTGAAAACCCAAGCAGTAAGCTGGGCCTCTCATAGCTCTTGGTGAGGGCAAGGCATTTGCTGGTCTCCGTAACAGATAGGAGGCCTTGATGACAGGGGCTTAGAAGAGAAGACACTGTGTGTGGGCCTGGAAACACTGTTGGAAAGTGTGAACTACGCCTAAGATTTCCTGACCTGGGGAGAAATAGCAACCATGCTTATCTCTTAGGGATCTTAAAAATTTGAGACCCTAACGATGAGAATCTCATATAGAAAGTAGGCTTATTCAATGACACCTAGCCCCTACCAACACCGGGCAGGAGTCTGTGTAGTATGTTCTTTGGAGGGCTGCATCCCCGTTCAAAATTGTGTAGTCTCTACAGATAAGAGCCCTTGAATGCTGGCTGCCCTAGGAAGTGACAGAACGCTTGAAGGAGCCAGGTCCCACCAACTGAGGTCAGCTGAATCACCTGACCTGACGAAACACTCGGGACTAACCATGGGTGGTGGTAGTTTCTCTCTGTCTTATGTGAATGAAGTTTGAAATGATTGAGGGTCACCCCTACAGGGTAGAGGGCATCACTTCTACCATATGTCACAATGGTTCTTTTGTTTTTCAAGGTGCCAGTGGAGTGGTGGCCATCCATCATCCACAGTTCAGCCAGAAGAGAGAGGAAGTGCCTAAAAGTCCCGTACTGCTCCATTAAAGGCACTTTAATAATTTACAGAAGATACTTCTTTTTTTATCTTACTAGGCCAAAAGAAAAAAATGAGATTCCATTTTATAGGTAGAATCTCTCAGTGGTTCTGAGGACAGAAAAGCAGAGTAGGCACTGTAAGCCGTTTATGAAATGAGTAAATCTTTCCAGTGAAATCAAGCAGAAGCATACATAAAATATTAGCAAACAGAGTCCTAACAGAGCACTAAAAATGTACATGTCCAGATTCACAGTGCACAGAAATGTAAAGAACCTCAGGATTAGGAATGAGGAAACGAAACCTTATCATGGTGTAGTGCTTTCTGCCATAAACATTTGGGAAAACCTGTAAACAAATGGTTAAAGCTGAGGCGATGAATGAGCAGGTTTCCTGGGTAACGACGGCACTCGACACGCGTGCACACACCTGGCTCCACATTCAAGGTCAGTTAGGGAATGAAAGGTAAACTGTCTAGGAGTTTCTTTTCTCTTAATGTGAACCCACTATTAATTAGAGTATGTATCTTCTAAATAATAATATCTCTTTTTCCATGTGTTTGTCTCTAGAGTTTCCTGAATGTTATCATTGGAATTTTTTACCTTAAAATTTATTA